GTTCATTTACAGTTCTAACCTTAATATAAAGTAATATAAAGTATTCCAAAATAGCATAACAGATTTATTGATAATTTCCTAAATGAAATAAAGTATGTATGTACTTGTTTAATCCTACACTTTCTAATTTTCAGATTCAATGATAAAATTGTTGGCATTCAGCCTGCTTTAGTCAAAATAATTTATTAACTCTCAATTTTTGACAGAAAAGTAGAACAAAGGGAATTCCAAAAGAACAACCAAAACGGCAAAATTGAAAATGACAATCACCAATTGCAATTATTTAACTTTCTTTTTAAATTTACAGAAAAACAAGACTTAGTCGTGTTATAACCGGCAGACATACTAGCCGATTGGATAAAACACTTAGGTTTAACTGCAAAAACAAACAAAGTTCACACCAGTAAGGTTTAGTGTTGTTGTTATATTTTCTGGTCCCTCGGGATCATTGATGCCAGCACTATTAAGTGTTGAGAATTGAGTACAGCTCTTGAGTACCGCTCAAGCCGGTGCTAGGGGGCGTGGGGGATGGTGCACTTATTCATTATCCCTCATGTACAGACTCAATCAAACCGAGTCTGCAATTCTCTTGTCATTTTGTTGTGATTAATGCTTCCGAGGGATCACCGAGGGATCACTTTGTTTCCAGAATTTAGTTTAAACCTTATTAAATAACTAAACAATATTTGATTAAGCTCACGGTAAAGAAACCAAGAAGCTTATTTGAACCATTTTCAGGTCCGCTTTCGAGATCTTGTCATTTAATCTTGTCATTTAGTATTATATGAGACATGATGTCTCAAATTCACATTCCCAGAGTTGAAAGGCAGACACTACTTAATCATTTAGTTTACATCACTCTATATTTAATGTCAAACCATTGTTTTGACTAATCTGTTTAAGCTAATGATAAAATTTTCGAAAAGAAGAGTTTATTGTGGGTATAATCTCTGTTATAAAATACCTGAAAAATCTTCGTTTTACTTTAGTGTTCTTTTTCTTAACAAAAATGTTCAAAAATTACACCTTGTTTAATAAAACATTTATCTGGTTACCATCAGCGTCATTTGCAGCACATCAATACCATCACTACTTATTTTCTGTATTTCATAATTATCATTTTTTCTACCATTTGAATGTTTACTGTTCTGAATAGATTACTATATTAACAGTTGCATGTATTGTTCACATCTATTTTAGGTAACGATAGCGTCCTTATACTATGTTAGACTCTGAAAGGAGCATCCCTTTCCAAGTGTTTTTATTCGTTATACCAATATCATCCTCCCTCTTAGAATTGTTATAAGAAAATTGATAAAACCATTGACAGAGATAAGTTAGTTTATGATACTAACTAATATACCATTTTAAACTGTATATCGATGTTTAAATCTTTATTAGATTTATTTTACTGCATAAAGTGAGATTACACTTTAAAACAGTCTAAACTTCGCCGGCAGAAACAAAGAAATATGTCTGCTTATTTCTTCATATCAGTTAAGAATCTGTACCACCCTCTCTTTCCTAAAATAATATAAATCAAGCATGTCATTATGTTTATTTTCAAAACACTTGCTGGGAAAATTGCAATTACGTTTCTATATTAAGAATGAAATTGTGACAATTACGAGATCATGCATCGAATTTTCTGAAACGTCTATTTTGCATGTTGCTTTTATTTTAGAAAGAGATCCTTAGATATTTGTATCACAAGTGAGTTTATTTTAAGATCATAACACTTTTGAAATTCATGATGTAAAAAATAAAACATAAATAACTACGATTTTTGGTTTTCTTTGTAAGTCATCTTTACAAATGTTTTATAATGGAAGTTTAATATGTAAAAGAGCCACCATTTATAAAAGATGAAAGAAGAGACCTGGGATTCCCCATGATGAATTCGTTCTGCTCTAGAACAACACTCCGTCCCATACGACGCAAAATACAGTAGTTAAGATTGTCGTTACATGAGATTGAAGATTATATGAATCTTACACTGGTTGCCGGTACTGACCGAAATATCTAGCCCGAGGGTAACTGTTTGCGGAGGTAATGAGGCTCTGCCGAGTTTCCGCTTAACAGTTACCAGAGAGTAAGATATATACGTCTGTACCGACAGCCGGTGTTTGATTCTTTTTCTTGCATATTACAATTCAATTTTTCAATTTTCTTTTGGAACAGAAATAACGAAAACTGATATTCTCATTACGCACTGTTTCTTTTAGTAGCGTTTGAACTTACAACTTCTTTTTTAACGGTAAAATGACGTCATCCTAAGAACGCAATTCATTTATAAAAGGCACGCGGCAGTGAGGTCATTAAAAGCATGCGACTTGTCTTACATGGGGGTGTAAGACAGGTTTTCTAGCACCGATGTAAACCGTAGATAATCCTGTCTGATATACAAGAAATTTTCATCCACCATATTTCCTGCTACCAAGAAAATAAAACAAACTGTATTACGAGCAATGGTTTAAAGATATGTTTTGCCACCGATGTTGTTTAGCGCTTGGGTGACACTATATACAAACTAAACACCGACATGACCCGGTAGACAAAAGTTAACATATTATTTTGTGTTTAGTTTTCAAAGCGTTATGATTTAACTCATATGTTTTGCAAGAAGAGCCTGGACATATTAAAATGTTGATGTTATTTTTAGCACGATACCTTGAATTATAAATAAGCTACGGCAAAATTTATGGTCATGGTACAGTTAAGATCTCGATCTTTCCATTTATGTTTAACTTCATTTTTTAAGTGCAGCTAAAATTTCCGTTATATTTCTGATTATTTACTAGTAGTAGATAAATTGGAGTTGTCTGTGATTCAAAGGCTTAAAGCGGATTACAATGGCAAATGTGACTTTATATATGAGCCGCGTCACGACAAAACCAACATAATGGGTTTGCGACCAGCATGGATCCAGACCAGCCTGCGCATCCGCGCAGTCTGATCAGGATCCATGCTGTTCGCTTACCAACCCTATTACAAGTAGAGAAACTGATAGCGAACTGCATGGATCCTGATCAGACTGCACGGATGCGCAGGCTGGTCTGGATCCATGCTGGTCGGAAACCCAATATGTTGCTTTTGTCATGACGCGGCTCATATGTTGATGGTAAGGAGACGTATATATGTATGTAAAGACAGTATACGCGGTGACTTTTTAAATGTTATTTAAATATATGCATTTTGTATGACCATTATATCTTACATAATATTTCTTTTTTTGTTTTTACTTATGTGAGGTAAATCCATTGATAATTTATAGGAATCTTAAAGTTGTACAATGTTGAGATTAATCTTTTCACGGCTGCACTTTTACCTAATATTGTAATGATTTTTTCCATGTAAATTTAAGCAAGAATTAAAGGAAACACTTCTTAATTTCCCACTTTTGTTGTTTCATTGTATGACGCACATACACAAAATTTTTCATTTCCCCCCATTTAATTCATTTTTCATTAATAACACAAGGAAAACAACCTTTAAATGTCATTACCCGCGTTAAAACAGCATGTTTTGAATTTCAAAAAGTTATATTGGAATAGAACTATTGTTAATGACATCAAATGCCTAAGCAAAATGAAAATTAATATGTTTTCTTAAAGTTTCAATTTCATTCTTACCTCAAGAAATTATCAAATGTTAATGAATCTTTCTTTTTGTATAAATATTAAATTAGTATCGATATAAGTTAAACACTATAACTTGGTGGTATTTTATATTCTTGATGTTAACAGAGGTTATGACTATGCAACACAATCATTCAAGCACATAATATGCATATCCTATACAAGTTCAAATCACTTGCACCTCACCCCTGGGTTTGTGAGCCCCGTCTTAACATCGGAATCTTTCACATGAGGAAGCTAATCCAACGAGATTTAGAAAGTTCAATGATTTTTCTTGGGTGCCCAGTCATGTCTGAAACAATACACGGAGTAAACCTGAGGCTTTCCTCAACCTGGAAAACTGTTGTTCCTCTTTAAACATTTTTCTTTGAATTCATTTATATTATAGTTTATCAATGTATACTGACTATTAAACAAATTACTGTATATCTGATTTTAAACTTCTTGAAATCCAGACTTTGTTGTTGGACGATAGTGATTAAAAAGGGATGAGTAAACAAAGCTTTATTGACATAAATATTGGTATGTTCCAAACTTAGAATCATTTACGTTGATTTATGTTATTATGCATTTCATATAATGTCTCTGCTTTACCGTTGAGAGTGTTATAATTTAGGGATTGTTGCTCGATTTTTATCTGTTATGCTAATGTCAACATCTTTATTGTCGCCTTTTCTTACAGAATAAAACAAGTGGGAAGGTAAATATAAACTGTCTGTGATCTTATGAAATATGACAATAGGAATGTTATGATAAGGTGTTTGTGTTGCTGCACATTTAATAGATCATTTTTATTTTCGTTATAGCACGATGAAGTATGTTTTAGACCCTTCATATAATTCTTAAGTCTCATATACAACATAATAAATAACCAACCCACTTAAAACCCGATGCAAATATGACCAGTTAGTTTTTGTAATTATACAAAATATCAACAATTATTTCAGATCAATTACCGCGCCGAACACTATAATAAGAAGGCCTTAAATTAGGTGTTACAAGTGAATTAGTTAAATCTTAGAATACAAATCAATTTCCTTTAAAATTTATAAAATCTATAAAAGTTAATATTGTGTTGTTCCTTAATGCAATGGTTCATCTTCCAATTCTTACAATTTTTACATTATCAAATTCTAGATTTTCATGAATATTTTATTTTATTAGTTTGTTTTATCCTTTCTATCAGAGATGGACAAAATTGTATTATCAGTTCAATGCATCTATTATTCATAAAGTGAACTGCTGCTTTAAATATTTTACTGGTAAATTGATGACTGGCCGCAATAAATATGTTAATATATGGGTCTTTATAAATAGTGAATGTATAACGCGGCTATACAATAACAGTCATATATATTTTTTTTCCTCTAAGTATTGAACAGCATATCAAATACGTATCACAAGAATTTCCAGGAAATAATGTTGTAAGTGCGACATTTTTACCGATGGTAGCGAAGTCAATATGTTGTGGAATTAAGAAAATCTCTAAGAAAATGTTGTAAAAGTATCATTAAACAAAAACACTGGTTAAATCTCTAGTCGTGCTCTGTAGGAAAGTTGTTACAATTATTGGATTTTACACGAAGAGGTGAGCATTTCTATGATATACATATTTACTTAACAGGTTTAGTTGCGAAATCAGCAGTACGTAGCATTTGGCCATTTTTTGTTATTTTTTTCTGAATATTCTTTGACAATTAATGTTATTCAATCATAATTATCTGCAAAATGTTATAAAACTTATTCCTATTATGCATGCAAAAGTGAAAGCAACAAAGCGTTATTTATGTTTAATCAAGCATATTAAACATTATGTTTTACTCAATTCATAATTTTAATATTTATCCTATATCAACAAATATAAAATCATAACTCATTGTTTGTTACAATGGTCTCCAGCAGTTCGGAGAAAGAAATCTTTTGCAAGTATATGTTTTGACTGTGTAATAATTTGGCTTTATAGTTAAAAGATTTTTAGGTTAAATAAACTAAATAACACATGACTGACGGGAGTCATAGTAGATATTGTAACCCTTGAACATTAACCCTTTCTACGTCTCGATGAAATGTTCTATTTCCCGGGTTGACACACCAACTCTCACTTAGATAGACATGTGTTATTTAAATATTAATGATTGATTTACTGGTAACTACTATCATAACTACCATATCTATTTCATTTACTTACTCTTTTGTTATTTGTAAATATATGCTTCGCACATTTTGTAACTGTTCGTGTAAAAAATAAGATAGGAAAAGTTTGCTTTGTTCTTTGTTTTGCAATTAAACACTGTACAATCATCGTTTTCAGAAGCATCTAGGATTTAACAAGGGAACAATGAAGTTGAGAGAATTCAGTACAGTTGTTATAGTGACTATAGCATTATGCTGTATTAATACATCAGACGCTCTTATAAATATAGAACAAATATTAGGATGCCATCCAAGAGAATATAAATTTAATGCTTCAAAATCTGCCGAAATCAATGGAGAAGTGCTTTCATGTTGGGATATGGTCACAGTGTATTCGTGTTGGGGGCGTTGCGATTCTTTTGAGGTAAAAAACCCTTGGTTAAAAATAATATCCGATTTAAAATATAAAATCTATGTTTTCTTCAATAATGGGAGCTGGATTATGAAGCAAATTATACATTTAGAATAAAAATCATTTAAAAATGATTTCGAAAATTGGGCTTTTAAATGTCCCCCGCCTTTTCGAAGAAAAAAGGGGGATATAGAAATAGGCTCTGTCCGTCTGTCTGTCTTCCTGTCCGTGCGTCACACTTTCGTGTCCAGTCTATAACTTAGTCATTTATCAAAGGAATTTGAAATAATTTGACACAAATATTTGTTATAATAAGACAATGTGTCACGCGCAACAACCAGACCCCTACCTCAGGGTCAAGGTCGCACTTGCTCATTCAAGGTCAACAATGTCTTATTGATGTATAAGTCGTGTTCGGTCCATAACTGTCTTAATTTTGAAGGGAATTTGTAAATACTTGCCACAATTGTTCACAATAATGAGACGATGTGTCATGTGCAACAACGGGTCACCTACCTCCAAGGTTAATGTCACAGATTAACATAGTCTGTTATAGGGTATATTTTGTGTCCGGTCCATAATTTATTCATAGATCAAAGGATTTTGAAAAAACTTGGCACAAATAGTCTCAATAATAAGACGATATGTCGGGCGCAAAACATGGGTCCCTACCTCCAAGGTCACACTTAGAGGTCAAAGATTAACAAAGTCTGTAATAGGGTATATTTTGTGTCCGATCTATAACTTCTTCATAGTTCAAGGGATTTTGAAAATACTTGGCACAAATAGTTACAATATTAAGACGATATGTCATGCACAACACCTGCACCCCTACCTCCAAGGTCAAGGTCACACTTAAAGGCCAAAGCTTAACATGATAGATTTTTAAATTCCTCGTTTCATTTTTTTTCTTTATTAAATTTATTGTTGCATTTGCAGATCTAGCATTGATCAAAATTTTGGACTGAAAATTGAAAATTGAAAACTGATCCACACCTTAATCTTTTGAAATAGCACACTTTTATGCTTCATATTAAATTTCCTTGAGGTGGGGGACGTTGGTAACGTTAAAATTTTTTGTTACAGTTGTTGTTTTTCTTTGTTACAGTATGGCAACTATAAAGCACCGTACATAATCAGTTATCACCCTGTATGTACCTACATTAGGGAGAAAACAAGGAAGGTGAAATTACGCTTTTGTCATCCGGAATTCCCTGATCCTTACTACGAAGTTTTCGATGCATCAGAATGCAGTTGTAAATTATGCGATTCTAGAACAACGAGATGCGAATATCTCACTGGGTAATAGATATAGAACAAAACGAAACATTGAACATCTCTTTACTTCACAGTTGTTTACCAATTCAAAATTTTCAGTGTTAAAGGGTTACTGAGATGTAGCGCATTGTAAAATTATTTAAGATTTTCATTATGTACACTTGTCAAGCCATTAACATGATTTAAATGCGTTGTATAAAATTTTCAAACAGATATGAAGGTTTTGTACTCATTCTAAAGGAAAACAGCACACAATTAAATGAAACGTGAAACATTGTTTACAATAAGGACAAATATTCTGTTATTCTTTTTAACTTAAATTTACTTTGTGTTTATTTGTATGTTATTCTTATTTAATGTAGTAATCATATGATCTGTTTTTAACTTATCTTTCTGACAAACATTGAACAAAACAACTAAATCTTTTGAAAAAAAACCAAAACAAAACAAAAAACAAAACAAAACAAAAACAAAACAACAATAAATCATGATTCGCAAGATAGCGTTTCTATACAGCATGTAAATTTGAATCAAATAGAAGAATGCTGATTAAAAGAACACAGAAAAAAGTAGTAGTTCGGACACGTTTTTAATCCTAATTATTTCTAACACCTTTACCACAGGCACAATGTTGAATAATTAGCGAACACAAATGTTTTGATGACTACCTTATTTCTTATAATGTAAGTAGTTCTTGATTTAGTTTCTATGTCATTTTATTATAGAATATAGTTTTGCTCGGCTTTAAGTTAAACATCAATACTAGGTCACATGGCGACTTTCCAGCTTTACTGGTTAAAAAATAAGAAAAGAATAATGCAAGATTAATTTTGTTCTATTTTCTTCCCAATTGTATTCCTTTAAAATGTTTATTTTTTCATATTCTTAAACCATAGAAAGTTTAAATGTATTCTATTTGGTAGTTTTCGAAATTCTAAATGTTTTATATAATCTTCAGATTCATGTTAATTTTCATGAAATTTCGAAGTGTTTAAATAAGTGCAATATTATCCATTGACCTAACAGCACTAACAATCTACATGAATACCAAAATGGATCAAAATATGCAAAAATAATCCTTACTCCATTAGTTACACAGTAGAAATATGGTGATTAAATTGCAAAATACTCTAAGTACTTTGACTCATATGGTGGCATGTAGCTTTTATTCCAAACATAATATAGTAAGGGTAATTTTTGTCCAAGTTTATCTTTTTCAAGTTTCAAAGACTCGAATTCTGTTAGTGTTGGCCTTGTAAGGATTTTCATAGGATATATACCTACACTGTTTTATTTTAGTCATGTATTTCATAAATATGGTTAGTTTTTGCAAGCATGTGACTGGCTGTATTACTTAAACCCATATCATTTCTGCACCCTATAAGTAGACTAATTAGGATGTTATTAATGAAAACTTCATTAATACAGCACAACAGCAACACTTACAACAGCATGGGGTGTCTTTCATATTTTACATTAACTGAAATACAGCTCTTAGTCCATAACGTGAAAAAAATAATAAAAAAATAAGTTCATATACGAGGATTAACATTTATATTAGGCGAGTCCTCAAAGGAATTAGGTGACACGAACAAAAAACAACTCCCCCACCTTTTAATTATAGCTGTAAATAACTTTACTAATATAGGTCACACAATACTGAAATGCGTATATACACAAATACCAAATGTAATACCATGGTGGCGGCACAAAATTATATAAGCTTTAGGAATACATTTACGAAGAAAACGTTGCAATGAAGTATATAAATGTAAATGTTAAATTGTAAAACAATGAATACGGGTACGTTTATCAGAGTAGCAAAACATTAAAATTCTTTATTACGCTTTGTTCTGCCAGTGAAACATTTGAAGAAAATTGTTGAATATACAAATGTATTTGAAACAAAACGTTTCAATGTTGAGTCTACTAATTTCCTAATATTATACTGTTTGAAATAATCATAATAAAACAAAAGCTATTGTTTACAAACACACGCTAAAGAAGAGATTTGATTCACTTGTTTAATGATCTACTTTGATTATTAACACCTAGACAATGGTTTATCATGTATAATTTTGCCTAGACATTGTCAAGTTGTTTATAAGAATTTGGATTATTTAAACAAGACAATTGGATCAATAACCAACACAAATTAAGTATCAAAATATGTTTCGCTTTATTCAGCTTCCTCAGTTGATACATAAAGGAAAACCAGATTATTTAAACAAAATTATGATATGGGTTCATATAATGGTCTTTCTGACTTTCATACAAAATACAAAATCACTATAACTGTACGTCCTTCAAAAATGCAAAAGAACCCAAAGATGGTTCTTTTGGATGGCAAATGAGTAACTTTTAAGAATTAGTAACACGACACATGGAGTATGCAGATCTTGAAATTTAAAGATAAAATGCTTTTTGAAGCTTAATGCCCTGAAATGAGTTGTTATCAGATAAAAGAGATAAGCAGACTACATAATCTCGCAATCTTACTTTGCGAAGAAAATCAATCGTTCACAGCAACCATATATTTCAATAGTATTTAGTAATTGTTGTCTGTTTTAAAAGTAGATATTTGTTCTTTTCCGGTATTGCCAGAGAATACAACTCTTGTAATGCGACCACCTTTCATCCACAAATAAAAACGGCTATTTCGTTAACCACTTTTACAGACGCATCAAAAGTCAATACTGTTAACCAATACTCTAGTAATTTAAAATGTTCTGATATATTGGTTGCTAGTATATATACTGATCATCGTTTATTAAATAATGCACCACTAATCATTTTGTCGTGTTTTATTTTTTCACATCGAATTGCAAGATGGTTAAAGTGACATCATGCTCTAACTAAGATATATTATAGTTGTATATTTCAAAAGATCGCCTATTACAATGGCGATGGAACAATAATTGACAATTTCAAATGTTTTAAATATAATATGAAAACATCCTTAATATAAAAAGACTGTCTACATTTTTAAAGATTAAACATAAACGATCATTTTTAAAAGATATTTAAAGACATTTATGTGGCTCACGGTGGCTATTGATTATTAAGATATTGGTAACGTCTATTATGAAAGAAAACTTTTTTTATTTTTACCTTAACACTCACCATTTACTCTTGGATTGACTTAATGTCACTTTAATAATTCACACACTAACGTTCAAATGCTAAGAATGTAATTCTTTAAAAAAGTCAAAACTATAAATACATTTATTGTACAGATTTGAAGGCTTTCTTGTTAGCATTGAAATAAATGTTCATGTTAATCAATCAGTTCATTTAGACATTTAAATATTCATACATTTTAGTTAATGCCTTAACTTATCGATTACATATCATAATCATTTCTCTTGGATAATCTACAGTCTCCTTGATACGTGCACGTCGTGGAGAAGGCACTGGGCATCGGCTGAAAATTTGAAGAACTTGAAACAGCGAAAAAGAAAACCAGAAATTCTGCGGAGCAGATGCCGATGTCGTTAAAGTAGTACTGCCTTCGTTGCATTTAACTGTTGTTTTCTTTTTTGAAAGAGCGGTTTGAATAAGTTCCAAGAAAATAGTGATCTTTTTGTTAACCAATACTCAAAAATAGCAAAATATACAGCATGTAACAATTCATACCAAGCTCGTGTATTACTAATATTTTTTTTAATGTGGCACTTATGTCAATTTATACTTCGACTTTAGAATTAACATTATTTGTATAAAATCAATCGACACAAAAAATGTTATGTCTACATAATTCATGTTCCGCAAAATCAAATTATTGAAAGCTATTTAATTATATTCATTTTTCATTTACGAATCTGGATGGAGTTCATAAGAGTCATTCTAGGAAACTTTATCATATATTGTACAGATATCATCTTATTTTTTCTCTTTGCAATGAACTTCTTGTTGTAATAATGTCATATACCACTTACTAATAACATTTTATAGTTCACCTGGAGCTTTCATTCTGAGATGATTTACTTTTCAGATGATATGAACAGGAAGTCATATTTAAGATAATGTATGTGTTTAATATAATACTGCAAAGTTGCTTCTTTTGGAATTGAAGTTCACAAGTATTGAATTTCTCATAGATGCGTGCTCTAATATTAAGAATAATTTAAATAATTCCGCGTTTGGGCAAAAAAGAATAACTTTTCGGTCTCATTTCGTTTGCCAATTAAAATTGAAATGAATTTTGAAAAGGAAATTTCTTTTAAAAGCTTTAACAAAATATACGTAGGTGGAAATGGATACTTTATTTTATGATTCTTAATGATTGCATAAAGGGGATAACAAAGAACGAAACAAAATGAAACGAATTTGGATTGATGAATGTACAAAGCACACAAATATATTTTAATAGCAAGCAAAAAATCTAAGGTTGATTAAGTATTATTTATGAAGGTGTACTGGAATAAATAATATTTTAATATAAAAAAAAATCAATAAACATGGATTCAGTGAATAAACGTCATCCTATACATGAGCCCAAATCTAACAAAAGTTTATAAGATACATCATGTTGATTTCCAACTACAACTGTTGTAATATTTTACCACAAATCCTTAAGGATTGTTTTATAAAACAACTTGTAGAAATTATTATTTTCTTAAAGTCTTATTATGTAATGCATATTCATTTATATTTTAAATTTAGTTTAAACATATTTTATTTCTCAGAATATATATATACATGCTACAATTTACAATAGACACAAAGCATTTCAATATAATTTTAAAATAACAGTATTAGAATGAAAAACAATGTGTCTTATGAAAGACTTCTCCTTTGTGAGTTGTTAACATATAATAAGCCTTTAAATCATTACATATTGAATACTGAAACTGAGACGAATATAAAACAAAACAAAAATCATTGAGTTTATGTAAAAAAAGAAAAGAAAACACAGATATGTATTAAAATGCTTCAAGAAACATAGTATATGCTCCATCTCATACATTTAGAATGAACATAATTATCATTGTTTCTTATTAATATTTACATTTATATAAACATACAAAATAGAAAAGTACATGTATTTGAAAAGAACACAGAGAGATGAAAAGTTGTGAAAAATGGGAAAGATTGATGACTAGGCGTCTCAAATAAAGAAATATTATGGTTATGTGTTTGAGTGTTAAATGAAGCTTTTTGTCTCTTGGATATGTGTACGTATGAAAAAATATTTCATTAGTAAGGTCAGAAAGGTTTGGGTTGTCTAAAAGTAGAACATTTAAATCAATGTAAAACATTATTGAAATCTTGTCAAATGAAATGAAAGTGGTTTTCTATTTGGCCACAAAGACATAAAGGCGATACTGATATGTTTTTCAAAAGCAAATTGTAAATTAAAGAACTACATTTTGTTAGAAATTTCGTATGAAGAACTTGAAATTTTCTTTCCCCAGAAAAAAAGAACAGCTAGGGGTGAGTTTTCTTAATGATGAAAGAGTTAAAAGGTTGCGGACATCGTATGAAAGATTATTCCATTCCATTATTGCA